GGGAACCAAAATTCCCTCAAGCCGGGTTTAAGGAAAAGGGGGACATCAATGCACGGTTACAAAGGTATCTCACAGAATCTAAAGGCAGGAGGTTCAGCTCAGCCTCCTGAGGCACAGGAACTGGGAAGAAGAGCCATCTCTCTTCCCCCTGCCCTCCTGTGTCTCTCTCTTCTCTGCCCGACTTCCTCTGTGCTGCCTCTGCAGGACACTACACCCCAGCCACCCTTGCACATCCCAAGTCCACATTCCCAGGAAACAGAACCTGCTTGACCCACCTTAACTCAAGTATCCACTCTGCTCCAAACAGCTTTGGTCTAGGGGAGGGGCAGAGTCCTTTGTTATAAACAAGGCTGCAGGGGCCCATCCTTTGTGGAAGTGGGCACTTCTTAGACAAGGAAGAAATATGCTGCACAGACACCCCAAAAGGTGTCAGAGATAGTCTCTAATAAGTGGCTACATACATAACGGTGAGTCTGCCATTGGGGAGACATATTGCTAAAACATCCCCAGTCAGATCCCATCATTAGAATTACATGCAAATTATTCTATTGGAAAATACATTTCATATTCTTTCTATATTTGGAGAGACTTTTGTGGCATAATTTTCCTTCCTCTCCTCTTGAGAATCTGACAGTTTCCACATAGTCACAATGAAGGAGCATGTTTGTGGTGGCATGTTTGTGGTGTTTCAGTCTGTTTTTCCTAAAAAAATATGTCAAGAACAGAGTGTCCTTTGGACAAGTCAGGCAGAATTTTACATCCCATTACTAACAAGCTTCCATTTCCTACTATCCACCAAATATAGGGTTTGCAACTTCAATAGCTTCAGGGCAATCACCACTGCTGACCAATAACTGATGTGAAATCCCAAACTGGAAAGATTCATTACCTCCTAAAAAAACTCAGCAAAAGATCCAAACAATTACGAGAAAAGGCTAACATTATAGTTTGCACAGAGGAGTGTTGTCTTTTCTACTTTGGAAAGAATTAAACTTTACTGATCATCTATTATGCTCCACACATGATGCTCTGCATGGTGCGTGTAGATGATTTAATCCTTAGAGCAACCCTGCAACTCTGTGTGTTGGGAAAACTCTCTGAGCCTCGGAAAGATTAAATAATTTGCCAAAAAAAAAAAACCCACAGAAGTAAAATCTAAACCTCATGCCGTGGCCTATGGTGTTTCTCTGACTAGTAAGAATAGCTGCTATTTATGGAGCACTGACAGGGTGCCAAGGCCCAGTTCCCAGTGCTTCACATACACTGACTTAGCAGTAGATTATGAACTAGCTACTGTCAGCTCCATTTCGCAGATGTGGAAAGAGAAGCACAAAGAGGTTACACAGCCTGTTCACAGCCAAGTTCACACAGCCTGTAAAGGGTGGAGCTGAGATTAGAACCCAGGCAATCCAGCTGCACAGCACGTCAGGTTGCCTCCACTGGAGTTTTGATTCTGTACATAGCACAGGGCACTTCTTGGGGATTGCTCTCATTATTAAGTCAATATGCCTCAACTATGTCTGTGAGAGCAGCCATGACTCCATCACAAGTTCAAAGTAAAATCAAGTTAAAATTGTGTAGCTCGCCTTTTCACTGCATGCGTGGAGAACGGAAATGACAATCTTGGTAGCCAGGATTCTCAAATCCTTATTTCACCCTAAAACAGCTTTTTCCTTACAGCCCCTAAAGATTCAAGACATCAAGGTATGCTAAGGGTGTTAAGAGTGAGGGAAATCTCTTATCATTTCTATGTGCAGAGTGTGTGGTTGTGTACATGTGTTTGGGGAGGGGGAAGGGACAGTATTAAAGAATATTGTTAACTCTCTTCTAAGAATGTTCTTTTTCTTACCTCTCCACTCCTTTTTAAGCATAAGCATATGCAGTCTCTCTCTGCTAGGAGATCTTTATTTTTTTTATTTTTATTTTTTTTTAAATATTTTTTTTTTTTTTTTTTATTTTTTTATAAATTTTTTGTTTATTGCAGTAACATTGGTTTATAACATTGTAAAAATTTCAGGTGTACATCATTGTACTTCAATTTCTGCATGGACTACATCATGTTCACCACCAAAATACTAATTACAACCCATCACCACACATGTACCGAATTATCCCTTTCACCCTCCTCCCTCCCCCCTTCCCCTCTGGTAACCACCAATCCAATCTCTGTCCCTATGTGTTTGTTTATTGTTGTTATTATCTACTACTTAATGAAGGAAATCATACGGTATTTGACCTTCTCCCTCTGACTTATTTCACTTTGCATTATACCCTCAATGTCCATCCATGTTGTCACAAATGCCTGGATTTCATCGTTTCTTATGGCTGAGTAGTATTCCATTGTGTATATATACCACATCTTCTTTATCCATTCGTCCCTTGATGGGCACTTAGGTTGCTTCCAAGTCTTGGCTATTGTGAATAACGCTGCAATGAACACAGGGGTGCATGTACCTTTGCAAATTGGTGTTTTCAAGTTCTTTGGATAAATACCCAACAGTGGAATAGCTGGATCATATGGTAGTTCTATCTTTGATTTTTTGAGGAATCTCCATACTGTTTTCCATAGTGGCTGCACCAGTTTGCACTCCCACCAGCAGTGTATGAGAGTTCCCTTCTCTAGGAGATCTTTAAAAGACTGCATTCCTCTAGTATGTTTTTTTTCCCCTGCTTGCTCCATTAAAAGTCTTCCAATTTCAAATCACTATAGTGCAACTGGCTTAGATAACGTACTGTCATCCATACCTCCTAGATCGTGTCCAGGGGACTCGCCTTACAGTAAGCGTCATTCCAGTTGCAGTGAGCTGGCCATGAGCCATGACCTATGGGGGCCCCTGTGGCCATTTATTGTAAACTATAGCTTCTGGGTGATGCTAATGAAGTTCTTCAAGAAGCCACATTTACATGACTTCACATTTGCTGTGTCTCCTTTAAAACTGCTAATAAAAGACTAGCAAACGTGTTCTTTACTATTAATTTGTTCCCCTATTTTCTTCATTCCTTTCTGTTCAGGGGAAACCCTTTCCATTCATCCCACTACAACATATCCCTTCATGACCACCAAACACTAAACACCTCCCCCACAAAAACTGCAAAATCTAATGTGGTAATTGCCTCCAAATTTGGAGCTTTATATGCAAACTGTTTATGACGTTCACAAAACTGGGAAGGAACTGCAAAAGCACTGTGCTTCTGGAAAGAAGAAGCCAATTTCAGAATCCAATTTTCAAAAGGAAATGCCATGTTTGTTTCATGTCAGCCTCTGCTTCAGACCAGAAAAAAAGCTGAACAAAGCAAAAACCGTTGGTCTGGCTGGTTATTTCCAAGCAAAGCAGAGGGCAGATGGAAAGCCATTCAGTTGGCTGTAGCGCCTTGTCTTCTCTACCTCCAGTTGCTCTGGAAGCAGCCAAGCAAAGCTTAACTCCTGTTGAATGAGAATTCACACACACACACGCGCGGACACACACACATACACACACGCACACTTACACACACTCACTTCCAAATGTTAATTTAAATAACATTATTAAAAATATGTAGGCTGGGCTGTCACATGGACAGGTGGTCTGGCTGCTTTCGCAGTTCTGATACACCAGGCTGGCTGCCCAGTTTGTCAAGGGCCCTGCCTCCCAACTGTCCTATAGTGACAACACAGTACACAGACTTGGTTGTGCACGTAACCCTCGAGCCCAACGCAGTCTCTCATTAAGGTGGAAGATTTCTGGAAGTAAGGCTGTGGTATTTTGTAGATTTAGAATCAACCTTGGGAGTACGAATATATATATATGTAATATATTATATATATGTAACAGAAAAATCACCTCTGCTAGTGCATCTGTTTGCACTTACATTTACATATGGACATTATAGTTTACAGCTACCTACATACAAGTGGAATTAATGAATGAATAAAAACACGCAGACACACACACATACATATACACCAAACATACACAGGGATCTAGATACACTGTAGATATCATATGTGAAATATGTCAATGATTCATAGAGATGCTGATAAAAATTTGTGTAGGAAAAACAAGTAATCAATTTTTAAATGAGTACTTTCCCGTATATTCAGCTTTCTTACCAAAGACCATTTTTCTCATTGCTCCTTGGTGGAAACAATTTGAGTGTTGCCTCTGCTGGTCTCCACCAGATGCAAAAAGAATACAAGCACTGCCCAGTCACATCAGTGTTTGCTCACCTCTGTGGGCTGCTACATATGCAGCTCATATATACCGGAATGACCAGGGCAAGTGGGGAAAATAAGGCTCGGTGAGCTTGGTGATTGTGGGGTCACATCTTATCATTCCTGTACACAATATATCCCATGACTGTTGTCTGCAGCACAACTGGGCACTGGCTGTATCCAATCTATTTCTACGCTGTATTGTCATTGCTCAAAAATGGCCTTGTTCTCCCATTCCCTCCATTTTCCAACTGAAAAAGGAAAGGAACCGATAAGCCTGAGCTCAATTTGTTCTGGCAATTATTGCAAATTTCCTACTGTGAGGGAGGCCCTGCCCATTGGTGTGGAATGACACGCAGCCATCCAGGGTCCAGACAAAAAGAGACCCTGCTTTTCTCCAAGTGTATTCAGCCATGTATAGACATATTGGCCGAGATGCCTGCCCATTCACATCTTAACGGGAAAAAGAGAGAGACAGAACCTGGAAAAAAAAAAAAAAGAGAGAATGAAAGATTATCAAGTGACACCAGACAACAAAACATGAACTTGGTGAAGAGGGAGAAAAGAAACTATTTTGACCACAGGAGAGTAAATCACTGACATAATGTGGATATATATGTTTTAGTACTCTCCAGCTAAATTATGCTTTTATTACAGATAAAGGTTACTATACTGATACTGAAATGTGAAATTGAAGAAAGTCACGCTTGGAGGTTGGATTAAATAAGCCTCTCTCCTCTATCTTCTCTCTCTCTCTCTGTCTCTCTCTTTCCTTCACTAAGGTACAGCTGCACATTAATTCAACCAAATGAAACTGTTAGGATGAAATGCCACCAAGATGCATTCTAAAGTATAATTCCTCTGAAACAAGTACATAACTTTATTTAAAAAAACCAAAGTACCAGTCAAAAAGTGAAAAAATATATTACATTATGATGAAAAAGAGGTCATTTAAGAAAAGACTGAAATAGCACTTCTTTTTGAAATGACATATGGAAGCTTTTATAACACCAAAAAAAAAGGTAACTTTTTCTTAATATTTGTCCTTATTCTTTGCTCATGAACAACAGGAAAATGTTTGAAGATAAGGTCACTTTAAATTCTAGGCCATGGCACATGTTCTTCTCTGGGGCCAAATGCCCTCATCTTTCCCCCTTTCAACTGTATCTGATGATAATTATTCTACCCGCCCAACACTCCTGTCTACCAGGAAAACAGTTGACAAGAACGTCTATGACATACTAGAAATCATTTCTCCCAGCAAAAGTCACTTATTTTGAAAGATAAGTAATGAAATGAACAGGGGAAAATTAAGTTAATTTTAAAGTCTTTTATTAGTTCCTTCTCTTTAGTCATAATGGAAATAGAGGGAAAAATTACAGATTCAGTAACAACATGCATTTGTTCCATTACGGAGAATGGCTAATTCAATGGATGAATCATTAGAGAATGATCCCTCTGGCCTTACAGAACTCCAGACATAGAAACAAAAAGGAAGTTTAAGATATAAAATATACTATAAAATCGTTGGGAGAAGTGAACTACAATCCCCAATGAAATTACCTCTTACGGCAATTAAGAGCCCGTGTGTTGGAGTATTAACAGCCTCAGGCAAACTCAACAAACCCATTGCTGGCTGCCAGTAGTGACAGATTTCTTAGGGAGTATTATTTAATTAACAATAATTTGAAAGAGCAGCTCAGCTGAGATTCTGCATTTACTTACTGGAAACTGAGATTCTGCATTTACATACTAAGCAATAGTAAGTGGAAAAGACATGCAATTTGTTCGCCTTCCCATTATGTATCTTTTGTTTCTGAAATACATAGTAGCTGATAGATATTTGCCACTAGATATTTTCAGCTGTCTGTGAGGCCAACATGTCCAAAGAACTTTAGCTCTTACTGTACAAGGCTGCTAATAGTCCTTTGCCGTTTGAGTCTATTAAGAAATCCCCCAGGGCCTCAAATGTTCAGGGACAGCATTCTTTGTCCTTCCCCACTCTAGACAAGGGCAACTGCCAGCCCCCCTTCCTTGTATACGCCAGGCTCCCTCCCACCCCCATACATCATTTGCCGCTAATCACCTAACATAAGTGATGCCTTTTGTTCTCACTCACTTCCCAAGTAGCTTTAGGTTGCATCAGCAACTTGGTGGCTGGCTGGGTCTTATCTCCCCCCAGAGATGTGTTCTCACTCCATGGCACTAGCAGAGGGGGAAGGAAAGCCTTAGCTGGGTGCAGCCTTCTCCCCTCAAAGTTACTGGACTAAATTCCCTACATCCAATGGCCTCCTTTAGAGCTGATTGTAATTTAAAGACCAATTTCCAACTGGCAAAGGGAGGACCACTTTAAGTTGTTCTGACATACAGTGGGAGCTGGCAGCATGAAGTGGACTCCACAACTAAAGTGACAAGCTCAGGAAAACGCAAAAATAGTGCACTCCGTGGAAGAAGGAGAAAAGTAAGTTATAAAACTTTTCATGTCGTCTGTTATTTCTATGACATATCTTCACAAAATTTGGTTTTAAATTGGTCAGTGACATAGAAAGACTGTCTTGGGAAATGAATGTGTTGATTTAGTTCCTGTGGGAGCCAAACAAAGCTATCTAAAATAGTAATTTTAAATTATGATTGGGTGGCTGTTAATTGTAGTCACCAGTGTCCATTAAAATTCCTGCCAACAGAAAATCTTTATCTTGACTCTATTTGTGATACGCCTAGAAATGAACAGTCAGTGTGGAACATGGTTATTAAGCAAAACAAATTTCTGTTCATTTGAAAGGACAAATCTGAAATCCCAACTAGTTAGCTCCTGCTTCTGTTTGGGAATAGATTAGGATGGGGTATGTATACAGCACTAGCATCCACAGTGGATTAAGATTGATTGCAGGAGCTAAAGATTTTTCTCTTTGATTCTTTTGAGTCCAAAGTAGCTTTCACTCAAATAATATCAAAGGTATCTGATTAAACACATCTCCCAGCAGGATTTTATCGTAGGGCATGCTTTATTATGTACAGTATAATCAGATTGATATAATATGGCATCAGCCAGTGAATGTCTTGTTTTGAAATAACTTCTGGAAATAGATTTTTATCCCTTTCTTTAATCCTAATTTGATGCTATTAACCAATTCCATTATTTAAATTGACTATTAAGGTTGGAATCAGTTTGATTTATCAGAACATATTTTCCATTAATAAGGCTTTCTTTGTAGCTTCCCTCTTTAACCTTCATTTACTTTTAGTACTTTGAAGAGAAACATTTACAAAAATCTTTTTCCTTAATATGGATTAGAATATGCAGATTGGCTCCTGTTAAACTATTCTTAGACTTACAGTATAAGAGCAAAAACTTGTAGAGTTTATATGGGTTTCTTTTCATGATTCTTTACTGTAGAGGAAAGATGAAAGGATTATAGGAGAAAGAAATAATAAATTTTGCAAACAATACACAAGAGCATTTTCCATTCCAAAGAAGCCCAATTCCTTTACCAACATAGAAAAGAAATATACAGGAATTCTAACTGCTAATGCAGTTTCCCTGGTAACATTTGAACCTCTTTGTGGCACTGCTATATGGTATTTAAATATCAGAAAGGGGAAAAGTGCCAGCATAAAAGCAGAGGAGGAACACAGTTTTTTCAGACAGCAGAGCTAACAATCCTATCTTGCCACAAGTGTTACCTGAGGTCAATCAGCAGGTCATTAAAAAAATTCTTTTTTTTTGACTGATACTTTACAGCAAGTAAAAATAGAAAAGCTAGAATCAAGCATCATCACCGACTGATTGCACTTTGGAGGGACTGCTAATTCTTAAGAATTAGCTTGTATGCTTGTAAATTCAACATTTCTCCTAGGCAAAAATGAGTGAGATGTTGTAAATGCTTACTATTATGCAAAGTCAGCATTTGAAAATATCGTTGATTTACAGGATTTGTAAAAGACCTTAAAGCCTTTGGTTCCATCCCCTACCTTTGGCAGATCTACACTTAAGTCAGTGAGAAACTTCCTCCTCTGCAGTCTCCTGCCCCTATCTTCTCCCCCTGCCCAAAAAAGGGCAGGAGATTTCTTAATCTCCATAAGCAACCTGTCCCAGTTTATAAGCTTCACTGTCAGGAAATCTATCTTTCTTTAAATCTCTTCTGCTACTGATGAAGGCTGTGTTCCCTGCTCCTGATTCCTAGGAGATGCCCATCTTTGGTGAAGATGAATTTTACAAATTTGGGTGCCATTATTAAACTGCACCTTGACTTTTTCTCCTCTAGCCTTAAAGATCCCTTTCCCTGGACACTGTAGGTTTCATCTTTACGGCCCTGTGGACTCCTCCGTACCCGCTCCAGGCTTCCATCCTCACCCCCAACCTCCTTTGGGTTGTAGCCCTCAGAAACCGACAAAGGATCCCAGTCTTGCCTGGTGGTTCCTCAGGATGCTACACTGTTAATATTACCATACAGGTGCCATGACTCTCTTTGAAATTAAATGTTATATTGCTGAATTGTTGTTCACTTTTTATTTAATTTAATTCTATTCCAAGTTTTATTAAATTCCTGCTTGGTGCCAACACTGAGCTAATTCTGAAGATACAGAGGTGACAGTCGCTGCCCTCAGAAAATTCACAGGCTAGTAGGGAAAGCAGACCATGTGGGCTGTGCTGGCAGAATGGACAGAGTAGCATGGGGGCACAGAAGACAGGCGTGGTAATTAATAAATGCTTCCTGGAAGAGAGATTGCCAAGCAAAGGGCCTGGAAAAGGCATTCATGTTTGAATAAAAGCATGAAGGTGTTAAAATATAGAGTCTGTAGTTTATTTAGATGGACCAAAAAATATGAGGGGAGAAGGGACAGGAGAAGAGGCTAGAATGATAAGTAGAAGCCAGATCATGTAGGTCCTTAAGTGCCTTGTCAAGGAGTTTAGATTTTATCATTTAAGAAATGAGGAGCCATTAGAGACTTTTTAGCAGGTGAGTGACCTGCTAAGATAAGATCCCTCTGGCTGATAAGAGAACAGATTAGAACAGGACACCAGTTATGCTGCTGCAGTGGTGAAGATATGAAATTTATCGGAGGGGGATGTGAGGATGGAAGAAATCTTACACTGACTTCTGGATTTCTACTTGGATGGCTAGAAGAGCCCTTCATTCCCCAAGCTAAAGAAAGCAGACATCCAACAAAGAAAAAATTGGGAGTCAAACTGGGAGGAAATGATATCCACTATGACCCACCAATATTATTTGTTCACTGAGTTCTCATTTCTAGATGTTACTCATTTCTAGATGTTACCAGATTTTATTTTATTCCTTATTGCTCTGTTTATATTTTAATACTTCTCCAAAGAGCCTTGTGTCTAAAGCCAAGCCACATCCTGTACCACCATCACTTTAATTTGTTCCACTTTGGTAAAATCTAAATGCTTAGTGATCATGACTTTAGATAGCCTTAAAATTATGAATGAATATTAAACACTTGATACAGAATTACTCCTATAAAATACTGCTTGTCGTTGCACTAAAGTTGAAAATGATCCATTGATGATAATTCTCCAGTCACTCAGCACTGAACAGTCAGAGCCATATTTCCTCATTTGTTATGTCTGAGTAGGCATAATCAAAAGTTTTATATTTATAGCTTACATAGAACTCCCTCCCTTAGATATACCCATCTCTGTCACAACATAAATGGAAATTGGCCATTCAGACAGAACTTGTTCTATATGTCTTTTTTAAATCAAAGAATAACTATTCCTGGGCCAGCCCCATGGTATAGCGGTTAAGTGCTCGCGCTCCGCTGCTGGCAGCCTGGGTTTGGATCCCAGGCGCGCACCGACACAGCACCGCTTGTCAGGCCATGCTGTGGTGGCGTCCCATATTAAG